CTGAAAGGGAATAAAACACAGGAATCTCTGAAGTCCTGTTATGTATTTTCCCCCTATGAGAGATCCCATGTGGAAAAGATATGAGATGATCCTGCAAACCTTGTGAATCATAGAACATCTCTTCCTGCACCCCACGTACTTCAGCTCTGGGTTACTCTGGTGCAGTTACACAAAAGCCCCAGTGACAAGATGTCTGCAACTGGAAGCTAGTCTCAGAACAAGAAAGTAGCGTCTTCAGTACAGCTGGGGAGAAAAAAACCTCTCTCATCCCACAAGAATTTCAAAAATAAACTCGGATAAATTTTCATGGGCCCACCCCCCAATTGTTATTAGATTGGATCAAAAGTGTTTTATTTCAATATGAAAATAATTTAACAAGCTATTTTTTCTTATGGTTTACAAATCTAAATTAGACTTAATTTCTAACTTATACAGCTTAGGCCTGAAACTGGAACCTTTTCCATTTTGAAAATTTTAAAAGAGGATGCTTTAACAGCTTTGAAAGAAAACTATTTGTAAAGATGACTTAATTAAATCAAAAGCAATCCTCTCCTCTGAAAAGTTTTCGTTTCATCAGATGAGCATTTTCTAAGGGAAAGCATTGTTTTGAAAATCCCAGCTAGCTTCAATTCCTGGCATTAGCTGAAGATGGGAAGACGGAAGAAAGTCCTTCTACGTTATCCATTGACATCTCTCCTATTCTGATAGAGGCTACACCTTATTCCATTTCTTCTGCATACAGTTTTCAACAGAAAATGGGCAGTCCCCACAGAGCAATCCTGCCGGGATTGGGGAATGGTAGTTCTCTCTCGACAATCTTGTTAACGTGAGAGATTCTCCACTCTGGTGGAGATGCAGTGATGCCTAAACATTTGATGAGGTATTCTGCATCTTGGAAAGCAGTACCGAGCAGATGTGATTTAAAGCAAAAGCTCCTCAAGTTCACGGACAAGCATTTGTCCAGTCCCCACATAAACCACCAGTTGTCTCATCTAAGCACAAACCCAAGCACAATAAATTGTGTAAACAAGCTTTGATCTGCTATTCAATTAAATAGGACTCACGAGCTGCAGATAAGATACAATTCCGTACGTACATATGGTAAAACTCATTCTTAAGCAAAAAAACAGTTGACATGCATCAACTTAAATCCAAAGCTTTAATGCAACTTACAGGCTTTACCCCAACTTCCTCTACAGTTACTCTCTATACTGCTATTTCTCGTCTGCTTTTTCTGACACATTTTCACACAAGGACCACAAGCTTACCTGGTCCTAGCTTAGAAACTGCATAAAGGAGGTCGTAGTTGATGACAGGTGTTGCATCATCTATTGGTTGCCACCCTACAGGTGGGGAGGCTGGAGGCGAGATGAGAAACTGTTTTGCAGGCTGTGGTGGTGCCAAATGAAGCTTGTCTCCATCTGTCTCAGAGGTCTGAATCTTTAAAGCATAACAAATACATTATTTAGTATAGGATGGGTAAATGGAATGATTACTCAAATCATACACTTCTAATACCAAATGCCACCCAGGCAGGGTTTCAGCGTCAGTCTCAGCAGAGAAGGCCTGGAGATGAATTTCATCTCAACCTTACAGATGGTTCCTCTACAGTAAATACACTGTGGGGGGCTGTTATATGAGCAAAGCTACAATGTTTGTGCCTATTGTATATGTTCTCTGAGGATAAATGCAAAGCTTTGGTATCCACAGCTGCTAGTTCAGAGATTTTTGAGGCTGAAAAGGTATTGTTCTGATCTACTGGCCTAAACTCCTAAATGAAAAGACATTAGACAAGAAACCAGTAACTCCTGCACCAAGGCCTTATCAGTAACTTCAGAAAGGTTTCTGAAGATTTGATTTCTTTAGCTGAAGTGATAAAGGAATCTATCATGTTCCTTAGTCATTTGCAACTAACTGTTCTCATTTTATTTCCATCTTAAATTATCTAGTTGAATTCCTGCTTTTTTCTGGTATATTAAAGAAGTCTCAACATAAAATGAATTATACTACAGCCATACCTGAGCAAGTTTACAACCAACTTGGGCCCAGAAGCAATAAACTGCATTTGCATGGCAGCAAGCCTGAGAGAGCACCCTGCTATACCACAATGGCTTTTGCAAAGAGCCTGGTTGGGTCTCTCAACTCCATGTTCCCCAGAACCTAATTCTGGAAGTGCTTATTCAGTCTGGCTCAGGTCCATATAAACATACGCTGCTCCAGACACTGTGCTGCTTCCACATATTCATTCCCTGGACACAACTAACAAGCTTTTTTAAGACTGCACATACTGGAGAGCATAGTGCAGATACTTAAATGGCTTTGCAGGAAATCAGCTTAGGTATGGAGACTAATCACTTATGCACATTTTTCTTTTTCTTGTGTTACCCCAAGTTTCCTATTAACCTCTTGATTGTGCAGTTAGAATGAAATGATTCTGAGCTCTGCATAACAGCAGGTTTTGAAACCTTTCAGAAAAAAATTCAGAGACAGATCTAGGCGATTAAGGCATATAAAACGGGATTGAGGTAGATTGTCAACACCTAAATCCAACTGTAAGATCTTCTGAACTCATCTAACCCGTTAAGCATATTGTTTTTTTCACAACTGCAGCTTCCCATCTTCCTGAGGTTCTGCTTCTGCCTAGGCTCAAAACTGCTCCTATTCTGACCAGGCTGTAGAGGCTCAAAAACTTAACTGCCTCTTAGGTTTGATTGATATCTTCAAATGGGCCTGCCCTTAACCTAAGACCTCTGGAGGACCGATCTGGCAGCTCAAAGCACACTTACATTGCTTATAAGCACTAGTGAGTATCCCACAAGCCACAGTGGCCACAGCAACTTACTAAAATACATTCAGAAGAGGTGGTGGTCGGGTTCTCAATCTCCCTCACCTTTCTGTGTCCTGGCTGGGGCCTAGTACTCGCCCAGGCTGTGGGACATCTGGGTTCTCTCACCCTTGGCCAAGAAGAATTGATACCCCCATCTGACACTCTTAACAGATGGATATAATCCCCTATGCCCCCAGGCTGGGGATATTCTTCTCCCCCTACCTTCTCCCTTTTACTTGAACTTACTGTATTCCTTTTAGAAAATTCACAGCCTGACTGTGGCTCAGGGGTGCAGTCCCGTAAGTAATTCAGCCCTACTTTTTAAATGAACTTATGATACTTTACATTACTGCTTTTTTATGGTTAGTTTAGAGAGTTACCCACAGCAAATACCCAATGTTATAAATTAGTTCGAAGCTATGCAACTTCTGTGTGTTGAATAAACAACTTGAGTCCTAAGTGGTCCTGTAAATTTACTGCAGACCCACTGGGCAGCTACAGCTCAGGGAACATGAGGCTGTCTGATTAATCTTTTAGCAGAGAGATTGGGCATGGGAGAAACCTTTATTACTTTTATTCAGTGTTACTGCACAATATTTCTATAAAAGCTATGCACTAACATAGAAGTAGATAGCAGATTTCATTACCTGTGCAAAATACAACTTTAACTTCTTCCCTCTGAACTGTGTTTCATGCAGCTCTATTCTGGCACGAGCAGCTGATTTGGGACTACTAAAATTTATCCGCACACGCCTGAAGCTTTTAAACAGCTGGAATGTCACACAGTCATCATAGGCACGGAACAAGCCTTCAAATTTTTCCTGCAAATGAAAAAGAAATAATGCTGAAGATTAACTTTGTGCTCTGTCACATCAGTCTGTGTCAAAGGATAATCTGAAACTTGACAACACCTGTTTAACCAGGAGGTTTCAGCCTGTGGCCTTTGGGGGTGGGTGTCCATAGAGTAATAAAGGCTTTGTGAAAAAAAAATAAGGAAAGCACTGATCTGGAAGTGCTGAACTCTGCAAAATATTTGGGGGCAGGAGTCTTCAAATTGAGAAACCAGCAGCTACTGAACTTCTCGTAAAAGTTGAGCAAAACTGCAACAGTGGCTTATGAAATGAAGCTGGAAAGGGCATATGACTGAAAATACCAGACAACTGTGGTCTCATCTGTACAAAAGCAAACATTGTGCTGAATTACAATGGAGTCAGCAGACAAAGTCAGGCCCACTGTAACTGAGGGTTACATTCCCATCAACACTGCAGGGTCACTTTGTATTGCATGTTATGTTTTTCTGGAGGTTTTGTCATTTAAATACTTAGCACAGATAGACACTCATTCCTTGAGAGTTGCTGTAGCAGCACGGAAAAAATTAGATAACTGAAAAAAGTGACCTGTCCCAAAGAGAAATTTCAGGCTTAAAAATATTTAGCTGTGGAACTCCACGTTCAAAAGCACGACACAAATATGGATATTTTAACGTTGTAAAAGAAAGGTCTGAAGTGTACCACATCAATGGGCCTAGAGATCAACGGAAATTCAAGGTACGTTAGCAGCCTTGGAAGATCAGACTCTCTCTGCAATTTCTCTGTAAACTATGTGCACACAGAGGACTAGTTCCACATCATCAAATAATACCAAAGTCCTTAAATCAATTCTGATTGAATTGCACCTTAAAGAGACCACTTGCACAGGTGGTCTCTTTTCACACAAGCATAGATTCATGAAATGTTGAGACTGAAAGGGAGCAGTTATCATTTAGTCTAACCTTTGTGTTTACTCAGATTTTAGACTGCCATCCAGTGAGTCTCATATAAAGTCCTAGCATTTTAACTACTGCAACCAAGACTTGAAGTCTTAGAAGATGGAGAATCAGCCAGAGCAAAGCCCCTTCTTTTAAGAGTTCTTTATCCTGAAAAAAACAGTGTTTGAGATGATTTGCAACACCATTTCATACACTGAGGGCTATTATGTCAGGTGTTTGTATAATCACAATACCCTGATGTTTTCTTTGATATATCTGCAAGTAAGCATGTTTTTACATGTTTAAAACATAATTTCTTTTCTTCTCATCCAGGAAAACAATTTCTTATCCCTTACAGTGGATAACTGGTAGAGGCTGCAGAAGATCAAATAGAAAATGCAATTTATGTAATCTCAGCAATACTTCAGTTCTCATCTGTTGATCTTACAAGCCAGACGAAGAATCCAGAACTTCTTAGAAAAATGTATTCTGAAGCACAGAGAAGCTGCATCAGGGAGCACTAATAGCACTGTGGGAGTGCCTGCTGTCAGCATGATACATTTGTTAAAGAGTTAACTAGGAAAACAGACCAGTTTCGTGGCAAGGAGTATGAAACACTAATGCGCATGTACCAGATCTCCTTTCATTCACTGCCAGCTCTGTGGTCTTCTTCCCCATAACTGATATTCCATCTCTGGCACCCTTTCAAAGGAACCTCCCTGTGGTCCATTAAGCTTTCATGATTTTCATTTCATTTCATTTCACCTGACCTCACTCACAGGAGTGACTCTCACCACAGGAGATACTTTGGAGGGGGGGAAGACAGAGGAGAGAGCTCAGTGGTTTGGTTGAGGGTGAATAAAGGCACGCAGAAATCCCACGAACAGTCTTGAAGTTGATAGATTTGTACAAGCGGGTCTGCTCATACCACCTAACGTTCAAATTGTCAACATTTCACACCCGAGTTAAGTTTTTTAACTGCTTTGTTTACAATTTTGCAAAATTCCATTTTCCTGAGCAGAAGTCTACATCCAGTGACATTTGTATAAAGGTCAGCCAAAAGCAGCAGTCATCTCAGTCCTGTCCTGCTTGGAATTTTGATGCTACAACTTTCACAATGACCAGGGGAAGACGGCTGGGGGAAGGGAGCAAAAGGACAGGGGACCAGCGTATGTGTAAAGTAGGACTTACATAGTGTTCAGAAACATTCAGTACTGTGTATAATCTAAATATCAGATAATAGTGACTAACTAATTAAAGCTTATGTCTTTATGCTACCTATATTGCCTATTTCAGACTTCTTCAGTTTTCTTTTTTAAAAAGCACCTTGAAATAAACAAACTTAAATACATATATATATGCGTGATATCAAGGTATTTATATTTTTTTATATATATACACACACATATATATGTGAGATGATCAAGGTATTATAGCAGAAGTCACACAAGCTAAGAATAAGCAGCAAGGTGAACATTCCCTAGTCCTCTGCAGTAGCTCTCAGTTTCCCCACAAATCAACAATGAAATCATTCATCACATAAAAAGGTTATTTCACCAACCGTGGAATGCATGGACTTGTCTGGACACTGGGAAGCAAGTATCTATTATGACTGACTATTTATTAGGAAACAGATTCTCCCTGTATCGACACAGCAGTATTTCCTTGCATCGGCCAGTCCTGTGTGCCTGCCTCTTTTGTGGACAGCATACATGACAACGTGGAACCTAGATCTTGGTTAGGGCCATAATGCAAAAGAAGGGAGGATGTGATTTCAAATGTGGGTCCAGGAAAAGCGAGCACAGGAATGTTCTGGGCACATTTCTAGGCAATACTGAGATGCACCACTTAGGCACCAGAAGGGACAGATGGGAGTATCTCTAAATAAAGCTGATTAAGTACTGGACACCAAGTGTAATACTGGGAGAACATTAAAGCACTATGGACTTTATTCTGCTTACTTTTCAACTTGATACTGGCGCAGCTTTAGAGAGCCAGCTTTGATTAACACTCCTAAAAATGCCGGGGGGGGGGAGGGAAATCAAGCCCTCTATTTGATATTAATACGGGGCAGTCTATCCACAGTGGGGACACATCTACTGCACCAACTGAAACTGCATCTCCTGTTAAAAAGATTCATACATCTGAATTTTTCTACCTTTTCAGCTGATAATAATGATGACCTCAGCAGAGGTCATTAATCATCAACTGCAGTTAATGGCCCTCAGCTGCATCTTGAGCCATCCCAACTCCTCCCAGCTTGATATTAATTCCCAGGAAATGCCTTATGCCTTAATTGCTATTGCCTGTGACTTCTAATATCTGCTGAATGTACTTATCTGGATAAAAGTCTCTCAGAGTCATTCCAATCTATAAGAAAATGTATCACATACATTTTAAAGACCGAAGCAAATTCTCTCCCTTTAAAGTTTTGTGGATAAATTATTCAAGACTCAATCCTCTCAATTCAGGAGTTTTAAAGCACTTTTAAGATTCAGTATTTTAAAGATGCTTTTAGAAAATAAGTCTTTAAACTTTCAGAATACTTTGAAAACTCCTGAAAAAAAATAAAGGCATGTCCAAAGTTAAGCAGCAGTGTTGCTACTCTTAGAAAGTCAAAATGCAGAAAGTCATGAGTGATGCATTTATTTCTGGGATTTTGGCATGTCTTCATCCATCCCAAGTATGTCTCTGTGAGACCCAATTAATGCTCTGGCAAATGTGAGTAGCCTTCACTTGACCAATACTGCAGAAAGTTCTCACTTCTCCCTCGTGGGCTCCGTGCCCTCTCTTCATCTCGCTATTCTTTTGCCCAACACTGGGCACCTTTCCCCAGTTCTTTCCTGCCACCTTACGTCAGCTCCCATCACCCATCATTCACCACCTCTGGCAGTTTCTTTTTTTTTTTAATTAACAAAATTAGCACAAAGTAGGAACATTCTAATTAAGGCTGCTGATTACTCAAGCTTGATTGTTATAATTTACAACAGCCAATGCAGAGGACAAACAGAGCACCATCCAAGGAAGAAACGAGCACTGGAGTAACAGACACAAGCTAAAAGCCTCAGAGTACAAAGGCAAAGCTATGCACTCCTGGACTAAAAACTGTTCCTACTACTAAATGGGAGCTCACCTGGGAACCAAGATCCTGTAAGTCACACAACAAAAGTGATCAGTGAAATGCAGCCATAAGGAGGCAAACAAAATACTGGATGCATCTGGAAAAGTATTTCTAGTAAAGCAAGGAAAGTATAACAACATTATATAGAGCACTATTACACCTCATTAAAAATGCAGGTTTTGTTGCCTGTATCCCAGATAGATTAAGCCAAACGAGAACAGATTCAGATAAAAGCTACAGAGAATGAACAACTTCCTGAATAAGAAATGAAAATGCTCGGTTTATTTAGCAAAGCAAAGCCTGAGAGGAGATGGGACAATCATCAGTAGTTTACCAGAACTGTATAGAGTAAAGACAAAGTATACTGTATAAAGACTAGAAGACTACGTTGGCATAAAACAAGTGGAAACAATTTGCATGAATAGGTTTAGGCTAGAAGTTAAAGAAGGTTTCAAACATCAGTGTAATGATCCAGAAACAACCTTCCAATTACAGCAGCAGTAGCAGAAGATTTTTTTTTAAGATTGAATTTGGTTAGTTCACGCGAGGGACTATGACAAAGTATCGACACAACAAGCACTGTAAAGCATGACTGCCTGAATTAGCAAGTGAATTGGGTTCCAACACAGCAAGTTCCTGTGATTTATTTCCAAACATTTATTTCATGAATAGCTCCACTGGTATTGTGTTCATTCAGGACAAAAGCCAAGGCCTAATTCAAATCAATGGAAGTCTTTCCACAGACATCAGTGAGTTTTGGATTAGAGCCCTAGAACTCAGAACACAAATTACATTTTATTATTCAGTGTGTTTATGCTCATTATCACCCTTGTTACACATTTGATTTAGGAGATGGCTGTGATTTAAAACTTTAGTCTAACCCTTTTCCTAGAGTTTTGCAAGCAAATAAAGCAAGCATTTTTCCCATTTTAATTTTCCTGTTCGTTTATATA